CAGGTCAGATCACTGCTGCTGTTAAGTCGCCAGAAAGCCTTTGCTTTTCATTGTCTGCCCTTTTGAATTAATTTCTCAAATTCCTGAATTAATCTTGACAGCCATATGTGTTGAAATGTTCTTTTAGAGGAGATGTTTGTAACGTGAAAAAATAAGTTGTTGAAACATTTGCAGGTGGAAGAGGGGATAGCGGCACATTACGTTCCACCAAAAGTGAAGAATCTCTCAACTCTTTGCACAATGTGGAAGGTAACTATGTATTTCATATCATACTGCACTTGGATTATTTCATCTGTTTATTTTTTGCCACTTAAGATTCAGTCTATACTGAATATACATGTTTTTTTATTCCAGGGGAACCTCCAAGTTACCGTCCCCTCAGACCTCGTTCAACTAGCGAGGCCCTTTCTGTGGTCGGTAACGACAACCTGCGACTAAGAAGTAAAGATGATAACAAAACCCACCCACTCAATGAGAGTCATGGTGCTGATCGTGGCCACACCGCCATGTCTATTTCACCTCCACATCAGGAGGATGACCTCGATCTTTGTCCGCCGGCTGCAGGCATCTCTACTTTGGACTTTGACCCCATGTCTTTTCAGTGCAGTCAGCTCGCAGCAACCCCTGGACTGCAGCGCAACAGAGATGGAAACAAACAGAGGAAGAGTGCAGGTTGTTCTAGTGAATCTGAGCCAATCTCTTCTCCAAACAACAACATTAGCTGCTCTCCGTCACCAGATATTAGCCCGGTTCTCAGTAAAGGTGGGAAGAATGTTTCCTCCAAGCCACTCTCTCCTAAACTCAGGAAGAAGTCATTTAAGACACAAGCAGACGTTCAGACTGCATCCACCCCTCTGCCACCTCTCCCCTCCTCTTCTCCCCCAGTGCAGAGACGTGACGCTCCTTCGGCAGATGGAAAACAGCCAAGAGTCTCCTACCCACACTGCAGCCCGCTCAGCACAGCGAGCCAGGCATCAGCCCTGACAGACCTCAGTCAATCTGCACAGAACCTGCCAGATCCAGGTCAGTCCAACTCCTCTTTAACACCATGCATCATTTACTCCTTATAGTTAATTTCTATTTATATAATAATGCATTGTGTAGTTTCTTATAAAAGCTTTTGTGTCTTGTCCCATCATGTCTTACCATAGCTTTGTTTGTCCTGTCATACTGTAGCGTTGTTTGTCTTATCCCTCCCCAGGAACAGATAGACTTATGAGTTCAGTGTCTGTTCTCCCTCCTCACCCTCCCTTGACGAGTGCTGCACGCAAGTTGGCCCTGGCTCTGGCCGAATCTGCCCAGAAGGCCAGCACTGGCTCCCAAAGACGAAATAACTTCACATCGCACCCTCTGCAGAGACATGAAACTTGCCACGCCCAGGACAGACCACCCCGGCCCTCTGTTCTCGATCTCTACCCCGAGGAGTACTGTGGCCCTCATGTCTCCTCTTCTGTTTCCCAGTGGCAAACATCAGCGCACAGCCCCATGGAGAGTCTCTTCTGCCCTCACCCTGTTCATTTCCCACCAGCACACCTGCGCTCCGAGCCTCTACAGGTCACCGACGGACAGGAAAGTATGTGCAATTTCACACCTAATGTAAGCCCGCTCGGGTCAGGGAGTCTGGATGAAGGCAGTGCAGAGAGACGGGACCAGAGGGAGGAAAAGGAGCTTAGAGATATCAGACAAGCAAAGCCCACCTATCAGAGTGTCGGTGTTTCAACACCCAGTCAACCTGTCTGCTCGGCTCAGAGCCCAACAACATCTCCTGTATATGTCAACACCGACTCTACCAATGTCTTTAACTTTCGTGCTGTTCTGGCTGAGACATCCATGCCTACCTCCATTGAGCAGGTCCTTCCACGGCCATTACAGCCCTCCTCAACTCATAGCTATAGCCCAGACGAGGACAGACCACGGGGCATGGTTGATGATGTCTATAGTAATCATCCTCACCATCATCATTGGCCAATACAAGCAGGACGTATGCCTGCACCTCACTGCCCTCGGCTCAACGCTCTGCCACGTCACCTTTTGGGGCCAAAAGGCCTGTACAGACAATCCTCTGAAAGCCGCTACAGCACTTTAGGATTGAGGCAACCTTTGTCACCTCAGTACAGACATTACCGCAGAGACGAGCACCTTATCAGTGGCTGCCATAGGCAACCGGACCAATGGCAGATGTCAGATGATAGAATATTTGAGCATCCAGGCATCCGAAGGGCTCGTTCTTTCCATGCCCCACAGATTAGTCGCTATGAGCTGGCAGGGACAGAGGTCCTGCCTCCGGACACTATGTTTTACCTCGAGCAGAAGACAAGCAAAGAAGCGCCCTATCAGAGGCTGATTCAGACTGGCATCCACCCTTTTCGGCTGCAGTTTGACAACACAAGAGCTGAACCCCGTTACTCTGCCTTCACAGATATGAACCCAATGGATAGTTCACACTATTATGTAGAGCCCTACCGGCAAAGCAGTGTACGACAAAGTCAGTCTTATACCAAGCGTAATGGCAGAGAAGGGGCACAATCAGATTACTACAACTACTCTCCACATCATGTTCCCCCTGTGAACAGGGAACTTTACATACAAAGCAGGGACACTGTCGTTTATGAGGCCAGGGACGCGGACATTTTTGAAAGAGTTGTATATCAACCAGTCAAGCAGGAGAGTCAATCCAAACGTAAGGATACATGTCCAGCTGTGTCTCCATATGAGAGTCCTGTCTCACCGACAGACACAAGAAGCAGAGACATAATGCACACAAGGAGTAAGTCAGACCCTGGAAATGCCTGCCTCCTCTCCACCGACAGGATAGAAAATGCTACATCTCCAACATCCATGAGGTCTCAACACGCAGGCCCTGAGGCCACCAGGCAGCCGTGTGGTCAGCAGTCAGGTGCAGAGGTAGGTCCATCAAGACGAATTCAGCATCAGCCACCGCTTCGTAAAGTCCCCTCACTCCCAGAAAGAGACTGTCTTAACCTCAAGAACACAGAGCACAAAGACAGAAGCCACTCACGAGGTCCTGACCAGGGTCGATCGATGATGACTCACGCTGCCAACAACTACCCTGGTGTTGTGAAACCCAGCATCCTCAGGAGACCCGGGCGGTCACAGAGCACCCGAGAAAATCGTCACTACTATCATCACCATGCCAAATCCCCTCTGGATCCTGAACATCTGGGATCCCTTTCCACTCAGCTCAACAGAAGGACTCAGAGCACTAAAGTCAGGCCAACACATTATGACCACATGAAGGAGTATTACGCAGCTCCCAGACCTAAACCCACAAGATCTGGTAAAGCCATGGCTGGATATTTGCCCGGCCAGGGCTGCTTGTCCCCCCGCGGGCACAGACTGCTGTCCAAGGCTCTGGGTCAAGAGGGTTTTTGTCACGCTGCACTGAGATCAGAGGCCGGGGTCTACGAGGGATTCTAACCACTGGTTTTCATCTGAATCTACATCCATTGGGGCCAAAGGAGAACCGCACTTTATCCTCTGCCAGACCAACAGACTGTTGCATTGAAAGTGTGTTTGTTTTAACCTTCAGGAGCTGCTAGAGGAAGTGCGCAGTGAGGCTGCTGCTGGGGTTCAACACTGTCGCATTCATTGGTTGTTTTATTTATTGCAATGGCTCTTGCAGACTTTAAAGGGAACAAATAAATCGTACACAGATTTTGTCTTAAATTTAGAGATTTGAAAATAACAGTAAGAGAGGGCATGCTTGAGAAAATGTTGGCTTATATATTTTATTTAATGTCTACACAACAAGAAATAACAAGCTGAAGTAACAGGTTTTATTGATATGATTTTAAACTGCGTATAGGAATGTGTATGAAACAACATTCATTTTAAATGTATTATATTTGTATAAATAACACACAGCTAACACGTGGCCAATGTACTGTACATTTTGTTTTCTATTCTAGTCTGCTCAGACGTCAACAAGCACTTTGGAGAATAATTGCGTATGAAACACTGTCTTAACGTGGTGATGAAGCCTCTTGATATACAGTCTATTTTTGTTCTGTAAGAAATGGCTTGCTCTGAATAATCAGTGAATTAGCACTTTTGGGGCAGGGGTAGGTAATGGATGATAACCACATAGTTTCTAACTTTTCACATATTTCTTTCACAACATTGTATGATGCAATCGCAGCATTACAATGTAAGTGCTATGATTTCGGTGTCAAAGCTACCATGGCAGAATAAGCTCGACATAATTGCAAATCAGCTCATTCAGTTCAGTGAAAAAGTGTATTTTGTATGCCAACGTGGTTTTGTCACAAACATTTCTTTCCTCTTTTCGGGGGAACTTTTAACGTGGTGTTTTACATGAACTTTGATGTTGTTTTATTCATTAAAGTTGCTATTTCAAATCCAAACAAGAGGATATTCTGTTAAGATATGTTACATGCATTATTTTAGTGAGAGTCTTAAAAGAAATAAAGATATATTGACAGTGATAATAGTTTGTTGAACTCTTGTGTCATGTGTGTATTTTAAAGAGGGATTTGATGTGTACATAAAAAGTCAGGATTGACTAATATCACAGAGGAGAGCCATGTGTTATGATTATTATGAACGTATTTGAGAGGCCTATGATTTTATAGTTTTGTATTTTTTTAATATTTTTTTTTCAATTACTTTTGGGATAGATATGCTCACCCTAATTTAAAAGAATCCTCCGTTTTATAATTACATCCCATTAACATCATATTGTGACGCACTATTCTAAAAAATAAAAACAACTATTCAAAGTAAATCACTTCAACACAACCTGAGAGCTGCTTTCTATAAAGTCACCCGCTCTGGTTGCTTGTAGCTGGTGCCTCATTTCCCACAATGCAACTACACAGTCAATGAAATTCAGGCTTTGCTAAAGGGTGGTAGCAAGATTGAAGTAGACTAAAGGGGTCTGGTAGTTTACTTTTTTGTGTGACTCCAAACTCATAATGGATCCAATACAAAGTTAAACCAGGCCAGAATCACTGATATCAATATTTTTATTGTTAAAAGGAGCTCTGTTATTAACCTAATTACATGCATATTTACAGACAAAAAATTTATTAAATTACAATTAATAAACAGTTGCTAAAAAAAATCTGAAAATGTTGGGATATAAATAGCTGAACACTGTATTTATGCACACAACTCAAAGTAGAAGAGTATTCTAGGACAGCAATTATTTGCAGATTGATAATTGGCTGATAATTGGCTGATAATTTATTTGGTTAATTGATTCATCTTTTTTTTATATATATATATTTAGTGTCAACAGAACAAAACTCTGATCAACAGAACAACACCCATGAATACATTTCCCTCATGTTGGACAAAGAAATCAAATTGAATTTAAGATGCTTAGAAACAGCAAATATTTAGTATTATGCTTTAAAAAGTTAAAACGATAAATTAATTATTTACTGATTAATTTAGTTTGTGTTTGTGTGTGACTCTAGTAGTGACAACAAATTAGGATAAATACTTATGTCATAGCAAATAGGCACAAACTGAGTGAATTCAGAGTTTTTCTATTTTCATGTTGCTTGATTTTTATATTTCTGGAAAAAAAAAAGATCAAGCAAAGGCCCCAGAACAAAGTTAAAATAATGTGTATTTTTTCCACCCACTTAATCATTAAATTATCTTGCAGCCTGACCCCTAGGTTCAGGTTGAGAGCTACTATATTGAAGTACTTGCACAGTGGTGTCTAGTCACCACCAGGTGGCACTGTAGCACTACAACAAGATTACAACACCCCTATTGCATTGTGGGGTATATTAGAGACTTAGAGTTTGCCTGTCAACATCACATATCTGTACAGCGACACTGCAGAGAATCCAGACTATTTAATTGTTTGTATTGCTTTTGAATTTCAGGGGAAATTATAACAAGAACTGTCCAGATCTGTGGAAACATATTGAATAAATAGTTACTTTATTCAAAGTGAAAGAGCCCTCCAGTTGGCAAAAGGAGTGACCTTAGCTGCAGATGACATGCTCTGACAGTGGGTATGAGGCCATTCCTCATTTTCCATAAGCTTGTTGCTGTAGAAAGCCCATTCAATCAGGGTCTCAAGTGAGTGAAGTGGCTGGAGGATAATCAAAAAGAATCAGCCAAGGTTGTCCAAAACGCCTTGGGAATTGTTGCTTTGTTAGAAATTATTAAAGTGTTCCCCTCCAGATCAAAACAGCCTCCCATTCACAGCTGAGTGAAAGGCTTGGTCTTTGGTAGAAACCATTAAGAGAGCCTGCGGACTCAAAGCAATGTCTCCTGGCAGCTCTGCATTGCTCCTGGAGCAGTGAGCCATTGTTTATTCATCGCCACATTGGCATTCAAAGTGCATCCTCACTGTTCTCTCTCATAACCAACAAGTTGCAATTTTTATGCATGTGAAGGTTGAAGGCAAATTATTTATGGGAGACTGGACCTGAGGAAAGAGAACGGCCTCTAGCAAAATGGTTTACGTTGAGAGCAATCCTTTTCTATAGGCTATTGAATTCGCTGGATCACAGCAAGATATGCATGTATTATTCAGCGTTTCAGAGAAAGAATTGTTGCCTTGCTAGACAGCCATCTGCTTTTTGGACATTGTGATGCATTCAGGACATGCTACCTTTCAGGATCAGGTTAAAGTCTTATTTTTCAGCAGGGGGCAAATGAAATGATTGGGGGGGAAAAAAAAGGTACTCTGCTATCCCTCCCTCTGGGCTTTCACCTCCCCTCACTGCAGTGAAGGTTTTCAAGTAAGAAATATCTGAGCGGTGATTGCATGCACGTCTTGATGTGTCTAGATTAGAAGAAACGTGGAGCAAGTGGAGGTTCAGCTGCGAGGGGAACTTTCACCTGTTTGAAAAATTATTCTGGAACATCTGGTGTTGTCCAGATGCGGAGATGGGATCTGTGAGGCATGTGATGTCAAACAGCAGCAGGTGCTAGGTGAGAGGACCGTCACCTCTCCAGGGGCAGGTGATCTGCTGGGTAATAGTTGCCACGAGGAGATGACTCCTTAGAGTAAAATTGCACATTATCAAGTCTTTACATTATGTAGGAACAGTTTAAAATCCTTAATGGCCTTGATAGCAGATCTATTAGTAACACAGACTGTGACTGTGAGTCTCTGGTTCATGGCACTTGAGTGGCTTCATAAAGAACCCTTTTTGGTTGTTCATTACGGTGTAATGTTCCATTACAAAAAATTATTGGAACGTTATGAAAGTACACCCCCTCGTTGTTTCTTTGATGGATCTTGATTGTGAAGTGCACAGCATAATTAAATAATAGAATTTCAGTTTGAAAAGTCCTGCTGGGACTTATTGTGGAGTTTAATATTGGTCCAAATATTGGTTTGTTTTTTTCTTCTTGTCAATAAGTATAGAAATAGTATCACCTTCAAAATTGTATCACTGCATATACATAGCCTTAATTATATTTAGAGGATGAATTTGCAAAAATAAAATCAACATTCATAAACATTCATAGTGTTTCATAATGTCTATGTTTTCGGTAATACAATTCACCATGTCACTATTATTTCCTTTTACAAATTGATACATTTTTCTTCTCTTTTTTTTTCTTTATTTATTCATGTACATTTTCTCCTTTCCCTTATTATGTTTAGTTGAAGGCTGTAAACAGTCGTCCCAGTTGTTGTGTTGTTTTGTTTTTTTAGTAGTTAGTGTCTGTTATTTGATTATTTGTTTTGTGTGGGACCCCCTCGAAAATGAGTTGGTTTATCCCATTTGAATAAATACATTTCACAATCAAATAATAACTTTTCCATTGGTGTAAATTCACCTGAAACTAAGATTTGCTGTGTTGCCTTGTTAAAGAACGAACCATTCATATCTATAATAGGAGCGAATCCTCCTCAACAGGGTTGTTGAATGTTGCATGTTGCTCCGCCATGTTTCTAATTGCTAGTGGCAGAGTTAGCAACATGGCTTCAGCTATCAGTCGAATGCCCAAAACAAGAATTCAAACCAGGAACCCTGATCTCAATGCTATGATAAAGGCAGCGGCAAAGATTCAGTTAAACCTTTTTTTGTGCCTTTGTGAGCGTGCAAAGTGTCACCCTCGTTGGCAAAAAGAATTGCATTGAAACTGAACCAGATGATTTCATGATTCTATAGTTATGACATGCTGTGACCAACATTTAATTCATAATGAAAAGGTAAAAAAAATAAACTTACCTAAAGTATACATTTTTGTGTGACAGAGGAAGTGTGACCCTATCTCTGCCCGTCAGGCTCGCGACCACATTGTCCTCCATGTTGATGATGCAGAGATAATTTCCTCAAGACCTAAAGAAGTAGATGGCAGTTTATATTTTTAGGCACAATCCTGTTATCTGTTCAATATCTCACTGAATTTGTAATCATTAGCAGCTGCATCCTTCTGTGCTGTAGTCACCTGTTTTAGAACTTGACAGTTCAGCAGTTCAGGTAAAAAAATAAAATAAATTTAGGTCACATAGAATTGTAAATTTTAAAGAAAACTGGAAAAAAAAGACATAAGCAAAGCCTTGGAAGTTAATGTTAACAATGGCCAAACACCCGTTTTTTGTAAATGACCTGAGTAACAACACTGTCACAAGCTTATTACGTGGATGGAATATTATGATGACTCATTACACAATATCAATGTCAAAACTAAATGGAGAAATGGAGGTATAAAAATTTGTGCCCACAATACTAGTGAGTTTTAAAAGTCCTAAATAGTTTTGAAATCGGGTGGCATGACACACATCACATGATCTCACGGGAAGCCGACGTAAACAAAATAGAGACTGCAGTGTGACAGCTTGTTCCAACGTAAGTAATTCTTGGAGTGAGTAAGAATGGTTTGGGTGATCTGTTCAACATGGGTTGTTGATTTGTCATTGAAAACTCTAGGTAAAAGTCGGCCTACATGTCAGTGAACATTGTCCTCAAGGGCTAGACTTTAAACCAAATCTTGGCAATAATCTGAGCCTAACATCAGCACAGACCAAGGTCTACCCTCTCAGATTGTTGAGGGGAGGAATCAGGGATAAATCAGCCAACACTGTCGTCTGATTCCTGCCTGAGAGAAAGACAGTTCTAGGAGATCTATGACTCATTTATGTCTCAAATTACCAAATTAACATGACAATTGATTTTCATTTAATTAAAGAGACCAAGAAAACCTTGTTGGTGCTTCAGATAACCAATTAGGCCCTGGTTAGGTGCAGAAATATATATTTTACTCAAGTGTATCCATGGTTTTTGAAATAGAAAATCAGCTGTGGTGGTGAGGTGGAGGAGAGCAGGGACACAATGCTTGGTGATTGAATAAGTGATTAGACCTCAGGTTTACACAAAGGCTCCTCAGTTGCAGTAATGGCTGCCTATTAGGACTCAGTTTTCTAATTTGACTTTCACATGCATATTTAAGTGACGATAAGCAACTAGAAGACCGTGTGCCAGCCAATACAATGCAAGGCTCAGTTTGTGTGGCAAATAATGCTCTTGACCTTTAACTGATGAATAATACCCTGAGAAACAGAATGTAATTATCCAATGCATTACAGTTGGTTCAAAAGGTAGCCACCAGCTGAATAAGCTTTAGCCATGTGAATCCATCGGAGGCATTTACTTGTAAACGATACATCTGTTATTTGGGGCATGGCTCTGTGGTATTGAATACAGTTCGATGATTTTTGAATTTTGCTAAATTTAAAACCACAAGGCATCACTAATGAGGAAATAGGAACAAAAGCCAAACATGAGAGAGTGTATGGGTTTTATCCATCAGAAATTAAAAAGAGAGTGTTTGTTTAGAGCTCCCATCCGGATCACTGAGCATTTAGTCTAGCCATCAGATGAGAAGCCAGAGTAAACATCGCACTCAGTTGCTGTGCAGACTCAAAGGACGCCCAGTTTTGCTAATGCTTGTGCCACCACTGCAATTGGACACACTGCATTAATTTAAGGTTGCTCAGTCTCCCTTAAGTCAGACCGCTGAGATATGAAGCATGTGACAGGGTCTGAAAATTATGTGTTGAAATGAAGAAACCTATAACTGAGCAGAAAAGTAATTACATCCATGCAATCATTTAACCGACCAGAACATGGAGGCTCACTTGCTCCAGGCTCTACCTTCTGTAATTTCATAAGTATTTAGGAATGCATTTAAGACTTCAATTTAATTTCTGCATTGAGAAACAAAGCATGCTAGGTTATAATTTATCTTTCTGACATGCCCTTTTTTAAATTGGACTAAATCAAATACGCTTTAGGGTGGCGACAGAATAGTTCTATGGGAAATGTTTTTAAGCTCTCAGCGTAGAAACCCGGGTAACAGGTAATGTGGTTAAATATTCTAATTGCGTTACCTTCCTCCTGTGCTGCTATTCTTCATTCTTTCTTCATAATTTGGAGAATGAAAATAAAGTTTGTCTTGTGCTGGCTCCCTAAACCTCACTTCATAAACAACTGCTTTATCAACAGGTTCTCTAAGCAATTATGTATTTTTTGCAGATGACAATATTAATAGAAATGTGAGTCTAGTGTGCCCATAAATGCAACTAACGAAACAAACTTTTATTACCTCACAGAGAAAGATGTTACAAACTTTGTCAAAAAGTTGTCTTGTAAACGGCTCAATTATGTGTTTAAAGGTAATTATTGATACAATTGGAGAGCATTGCTATAATTACTCAGGGACTAATAGAAAATGATAAAAAAAATATATTTCTCAGCATATTAACTAAGTGCTGTAGAAAAGCGTGCTCCATCATGTTTCTGTTAACTCGTCTCTTTTGTTTTTATCCGTACACATTGTCCTTGTTTCACCTGCTCGGGTTTTCCTTTGTTCACATCACAATGACTTGGTAAGAGTGCTCCAACAGTGGGTACTTACTACATCTCTGGCCTTCATGTCTTGAAATAAATACCCTGTGATAGCGTAAATATAATGCTCCACATGTGGATTATTTCTCTGCATGTGCATGGTCTAAACTGAGCTGTGTGGATGTAAACACAGTAGCTACATTTTACATTATAATGGAGAAAATAGCATTGCTCAAGGCTCACTTGCTAAAGCTTAGCATGGTGGCCTCTGACTCCAGGGTAATTTACTGAATGTCTAGAGGCAAAGCTGCCTTTAAAATCACATAGTTCAATGCTTATGTATTAAGTTTTAGATTTATGTAGCTTTCAGAACAAAAGCAAAAAGCATATTTATTTGTGTGCATTTCTTTTGTAGAATTTGGATGATTTCATGTGGGTTAGCCACTTTTACATCACCTTTCAATCTCTGTAATTCAAAATAAATATATTGAACTTCTTAGTGTGACAAAGTACTCACCACGTGTTCACATCACATTCAGTTTCCTCCGTTACAACATTGTTGAATTGTTAGTGGCTGTGTTCAGATTTCCCGGCAAGGTGCCGGCCTGTTGTTTGGGGTGGGGCCGCCCAACATTTCCTGGTTTTGAGGGATTGGTGATGATGTCACTGGGCTAAACCAAATGGAGGGGTAATCCTTTTTTTTTTTTAATTCAAGCATTTAGCAGATGTGTTTTAGGATTAGTTACATTGTGTAGTCAGCTACCATTTAGAAATATAAATGAGCTTCTAACGTAGAGTAAGAACGTTTTTTTCTTTGTATTAGGAGTACTGCTAAGTTCAACCTGCTTTGTTGTGGTTCAGGCTGAGTAAGTTCATGTGTGAATTGAACCCCCTGCATAAATAGATGGAGTTTTTCTGCATTCGAAACAACTCGGATGTCAGAATTGCACATGAAAAAGTGCAATGGAACATGATATAAAGTCACAGTTCTGACTTGTGAACCCTGGGAAGTTTGATCTTCCCCCGACTTTACGGAGAAGCAGTTGTCTGACATCACACAACAATGGCAGCGCTCATGGAGACGTAGATACTGTAGCGCTGAGGCCCGTCAACCTTCTGTCTGACTCTTGTTTCCTCGTTTGTGAAATTAATGTGGGCGTGTTCTATTGCTCTTATGTATTGCAATGTGTTTCCAAGTATAAAATGTATAATAATAAATAACCCCTCCCCTGCTTTGTTTATGTATGAAAGGAGGCTGCACTGGTCACAGTTGAATTATCTCATCACGAGCCAAATAACCATCAGCTTCTCATGATCAGCCATGTTTGTTTATGTTTGAAGCCTTGCTTGGAAGTTGGAAGATGGAAACTTCAAGTCAGAATATCCTACGTCAGAGTTGTCTGGAACGCAGCGTTAGTCCAACCATGGAGGACCAGTAGAGCGGTGCTGCTAACAGCATGCAGTGTCTATTTGGATTCTTAAAGGTTGATTTCCTGAGTTGTTTTCCCAGTAATTTGTTTTGTTGTTTCGTCTGAGTTACACATGTGATGAAGAGCAGTGTAACAAGAATCCTGCTGAGTCTGCCTGTCTACCATCTTCATTTGCCTTCAAGCCAAACGATGCTGCACTGAGAGAGAGAGGATCAGGCACATTTTGTAGAGCTCGTGTTTTCATTGCACTCTAGGGATTTTTCATAGAGGAGTTTATACATAAAAAGACATGAAATTAAGTTTTAATATTTCATTAATTTGTTGTACAACATGGCTAAGAAGGCTACCTTATATTACAAACCCCTTTTTCTTACTTAAAGATGTCCTAACGTTTCCATTTTCTGGAATCTGTATTGATGAGCCAACACCTTAGTAAGTTTAGACTTAAATCTTGAATCATAATGTTGAAAACAGAAATAGAACTCCTTGCTCAAAGCTAACTTACTAAAAGCTAACTGCCTAGCTTTTCTGAGTGTCCTTTGACTAGTGTAATTCACAGGATTTTATTTACCTTTAATTCACAATGTAGACATAATAAATGTAGAATAATTCATAAGTAGTTTGTTCATAAGTTTGTACAAATAACAGTCAAAGAACATTGTCTGTAGATGCTGCAGTCTGTTAATCATCTTATCGAAGAGCATTTGAAAGTATACAAGTACACAAAGCATATTTTTGTTAGATTTCATAAAGATTTCTGAGAATAACTGATTATTATTGTAAAGTTTTACAAGTTGAAAATCTTTATAACTATTTAACTTCTTTTTTCCTCTGCAAAGGTTGTGTTTTCACCTGTGTCAATTTGTTACCTCTGCCAAGTTTATCACCAGGATTATGCAAAAACGACAAAACAGGTATCTGAAATTTGGTGAAAGGATGGGCCCACTGAAAATGGAATTTGATGCAGCTTCATTGAATTTAAGGGGTCTCCTGGGCCTTGGTTGAGGTGTGCCCTCCACTGAGTGCTATTTTAGTTTGTAAAGCCATGCAGTGTGTTCCTATCTGTAATTCCTAATTCAAAAGGGAATGACTGCAGCGGTTACAGAGCATGGAACAGATAATTTTTTTAACTTATCCACATCTTTCAAAAATTAAATTGAATTTAAGTTCAAGCTCATTCAAGCTGATGAACTTCTTCCCATGATGCCTTTCTTTCCCTGTGTTTTAATTCAATGCCAATTTAATTAGAAAATGTAACTTTTAATTACCTATCTAATTAATTTAATAAGTGAAAAAAAAAGACTCAGACTGACAAATTACTCAGGTGGCAGCTAGTGTTCCTTCAGCATCTCAGCAGCTCACTTCAAGGCTGTGTACCGACATTTTTTTTTAGACTATAACAGGCTGTCCCACAAATATAGAACACTTTCATATGCTGACAACAGAAACACACACGAAACATAAGTGGAAAAGCATCTGTAGAAGAACTGTTGTGTATCAGTAGGAGACTGGATGACTAAATAAAGAAGCTGGATAACTAAATAAACTTGTAGTGCAACAATAGCAGTTTTATGGATATCTCAAAAAGATAATCATCAACAGCTATCTGAGTGTTTCAAATTAAAAATCTACTTAAATGGAAATGAATTATGCATCAACAATACTAAATATGATGGAGAGATTACATACAAGCGAAGCAGAATAAAAGATAAGATGAGAAGATTGGGAAATACTCAGCTTGCTTATTGTATCTAGGTGGTGGCTATGAAGCGGAACATCAATGTAAATTTGGCAAAAGAACACTTTGCTTCTGCAGAGAGGATTCACCTTGAGATTTGGTCAAAGGAAACTTCAGAGGATGCTGCTTGAAGCTTCGGCTCGGCAGATAATTACAGATTTCCTGTCTGAGACACTTAACCTTTATTTATTCCATTTTTGGTGTGGGGGGGGGGTAATATCTTTTTTCTAATTAATCACACCTAAAACTTGCACATCAACTCCCAGTGCAGAGTTTCTCCCTCTGGTAAATATCAATCTCTGATTAAATATCAGAGTATTAAACATCAAGCAGCAACATAACTGACATTAGAGCCTATAGAGCTGTTCGCAGCATCTTTCAGCTCTGGATTTAATCACCTCACAAACACAAGTCCCTTCTCTTCTCTCTGACACTGTCATACAGGATTAACAAACTGGTTGTGTGTCGTTTAATTAATGTAGATTTCTCTGGGTCAAACTGTAGTAGTCGGAGATAAGTGTGTTGTGGTTTTCACAGGCTTCAGGTGCTTGTCCTTCATCATTGTTTGAAATAACTAGCTCATCAGTTTCATGTATCTTTTCCCCCCGACATTAATACTATTACAAGCACAGAAGTCAGGTGGTGTTTTCTGCAAAGCTCTTGCCATTGCTTGACTTTGTTGGACTGGCACCGTTTTAATGGTTTTTAACGTCTCACCTTACAACGCCATGCTGTCCTTGCAATACAAAACACTAAATCACATGTTACTGGAGGGTTTAGTGACATTTAGTGCTTGAATATAAACTGTGGTTTTCTCATCTTCATTTAGCCATTCTACAATTTAACAGCACTTTGCAACTTGACAAAATTTCTGTTCAGTTGGATGTCTTTGGGTGAGTCACTTTCTCAGCGGGTGTTGTCACTATATAGCAAACTGAATGAGTTACTGTGGTCAGTCAATGTCTCTCTCAGAATGATTTTCTCCAACAGTTTTCCGACTGTTATATTAAATGTTCATATACAAAGGAATGGGAAAGTGGTCTTAGACTTGTCGACTAATGTCTGGTATCGGTACATCTACTTGTACCAAAGGGTTATTTCAGAAGTTGCTAATCCATATAATTATCACAAATATCCACATATTGAATCAACAAATAAATACACAAAGTGTTTGCAATTTTGTGAAATCTAGAAGTAATATGTGGATGGCAGCTCAAAGGAAGCTAACACTAATGTGGTTGCCATGGGTAGCTAGAAGTATTGATAAACAGTTATCTCAAATGGTTAGATAAATGCATGGGTTAACACATTTAAAAGCTTTAAAAAGTCGAAGCAGTCTAAGCCAATAGATAAATTGTTGAAATAGCTGAAAGTCATCAATAAACTATTGATCAAATATTTTGTAAAGTAATGGGTGAACAGTGGTACAGTTTTCTAAAAGTAAATAATGTCCTTCAGTCTTTTCTAGCTATGAGTAATGAATGATCAGTTGTAAAATGGAAGGAGGCTAATGATATAATGGTCCAAATAGCTTTAGCTAAAAGTAACAGATGAAAAGTTGAAATATAGCTAAAAGAAATAAATGAATGATTCAAATTAGCTATCAATATGCTAATGATCTTGATTAAAATATTTATCTAAAAG